AGCATGGAGATTATGTTGCCTAGAACCCAAATCTTCCTCTTGTCATTGCCTAGATGCTAGAGAGAAAGGAAGAGATCTGAACTTGTTTTCTCAATTGAGGGAATAGACTTGGAAGACCTTTCCACTAATAGTAGCCCCTGAGAAGTTGTGTTTTAATCCAGTGCTCTGGCCTGAGCAGAATCACTCCCCAGAAGTTATGTGACAATGGCGATCAATATATACTAGCCATTGTTCTTTTTATTATTGTTTGTTGCCTTAGTTGTTTAAACAGTTTACCAGCATCAGGGTTTACATCCTTCTTAAGAACTTTATGTTTCATCCAGACAGTCATTCTTGATGGAAGTCTTCAGTCTTCAAGTGTGACAATAACAGCCTGAACTCAGTAATGACGATGGAGATGTAGAGGAGACTGTTGAATAAACTCCTAGACCTTAGTTGAAGCCTTCTCAGTTTGACTCAAACTTATGTTCTTGCCATATGATCTGCTTATGATTCTCCTCCATGCACACTATTACAGTTGCATCAAATTATTTAAGCTCCTTGAACACACCATACATACCTTCATGTGTCTGTGGGTTTTCCTGCAATCAACTTCCATGTTTTTCCATTTGAGGAATGTGTTTTCTCTGGACCCTTCCCTGGTCCCTACTGCTCTGGAGCTGATCACTCCTTTTTCTGTGCTCCACAGGTTGACTCTTACCTTTAGTCAAGGGCTTGCCACTTTACAGAAAGCAAACCTTTTGCATTCCCAACACTCTGATAAACTCTTCTTGAGGGAGATGGCTATTCCAAAGTGGGCACTCAGTGGTATTTATGCCTGAGTAAGGGACTGAATCCTCATTCTCTGCTGAAAATTCTAGGATTTGATCATCTGTGGATCCTCACAAAGCATTCCAGATTGTGGTTACATAACGGCAATTTATATCTTTGCTTTCAGAGAGGACCAAGCTTTGGCTGGATGCCTAACAATATAGTGGACATAAATTAACAGGGGAGCAATTTACAGTCTGTCATGTCTTATTGCTTAATGAATTTGTCAAAAATCATATTACTCTGAAAATTATGACACCTGGGGTCCATGGGGCTTATGTCTTTTAAGAGCAAGGTTGTTCCAGCCTCACTCAAGCAAAACTGCCTCACGACTTTCCTCTTTTGAATGTGGACACCAGAATCTCTAAGCATTTCTATTTATTTATCAAATCTCTGTTGACTTTCACTTTGCATTAGGACTAACAGGGATGACCTTGGGCACTTTGCAAATCCTGAACCCCAGTCTACCTGCTGTCAGAGCCAAATAGGATTTAGGAGTTCTCTTAAACTCCTGATTCTATGCTAATATGATGTCATCCATTTCTGGCTAATGCTCACCCCAGACTTTATTACTCATTTTTCAAACAAAGCCAAAGGCTTGTCCTCTGTTATGAGGGCATCAAGCAGGGCCCTCTTTTTTTCTCCACCCTGACTTCTCTCTCTCCTTCTTCCTCACATTCTCTTCCTCTTTCCCGATCCATTTGCTCCCCAAAGGTCTCCCACCCTTTGTCTCCCTCTCTTTCTTAGGATATGTATGAGTTCTTTAAGTGATGCCATTCCCGAGGGTAAAGAGTCAGATAGATTTGGGTTTTCCTATGCATTACTTTCCTCATTTGTAAAATGGGATTAATAACAGCTAACTCACTGGGCTAGTGTGTGGATTACAGTGCCTGAGATCCATCCATCCATCCATCCATCTATCCATCCACCCAAAATTTACTCATTCACTTTGTAAACATTTGAGTACCTGTAAAGGTCATGCACAGGGCTGGGCATTTTGACTACGTAGCTGAACTGTGGACTCTAATGTGAAGGGCCCTGGAATCTACTGGAAAGATGGACAAATTAAAGATAACTAAAATCTAAGGTGGGTAGTTTACTGACTGAGACATGCTCAAACAGGACAACCATTTCACAGTGATGTTCACAGGGCTCCCGGGAGGTGTGTGGAGGGCTGCCAGGATTCTCTTCTGGGGGCAGGCTGCCCTTAGGTTTGAGGCCAGAGTTAACGCTCAGAAATGATGATGGCCCTGTTGGTGCAAGCAGCAGACCTGGCGATAGTAGATCTGATTATCATCGTCATCTTTCTCCGTCAGTTTCTCTTTCTCTGCTTCTCTTTCAATTTCTGCACATCTCTCTGTTTTTTACCTTTTATCTCTGCATTTCTCCTTTCACTCCCTGTCTTGTAATTCTTTGGGGAGCATGTAACTATGGATTAACTGATGGCTGATTAAAACACAATTCGATCTTTTTTTACGTGTTTTTCCTAAGGAAAAATTGCCCCAGTGGCACCTGAACATATGGAAGAGCCACGGCTGGGTTGCAAACCAGTGGGGGCTGCCCCATGGAGGTGGCAGATGCCCCCAGGCAGCTCCCTGGCTCATCCTGTGATCTGCCTCGTTGGCCAAATGGAAGCAGGCCAGCCACCTAACAGTTAACTGTGATTCTTTTTCCCCCATATCATTTCAGTCTCTTTGTTCCAAGCAACCAACGAGCTAATGGCTGGCGAATTTATTATGACCCATTGTTTGGCTTGTGGAATAAACCAATTCTTCCCCTTTCTATGTTCTGACTCTCCCCTTTGTCTGCAATTTTATTTTGTGGTTCTTTTTGTACACATCCAACACATGCTGAGGTTGTTGAAAAGCACAAATTACACAGGATTCAATTTGCATATCTATTGAGGGTCCAATCCCAGAGTCCTTAGTCAGGCAAAATGCCCGTTGACTCCTACCTACTTTACTCTGGTCCCTGTTGGCACCCAAACCGGCAGGCTGCCCCTCTGCTGCCTCCAGCAGACCTGGTAAATGGCCTTCACGAATGGTTTAAGCAGAGTCACACCACAGAGGACAACGAGTTGGGCTTTCGCAAAGTTCCAACAAAGTCACTCAGAGGATCTTAGTGGTCAAGGTGGAGAAAGAGATGCCAGATGACCGCAAAGTGCAGTCAATTTATTACTGGTGTGACTGGAAAGTACAGGCACTGGAGTCACACATGTTACATGGAATCCCTGCCCTGACAATTATTTGTTTAAAAAAAATTAACCTTTTTATTTTGGGAGAGTTGTACATTCACGTGTAGTTAAGAAACAGTACAAAGAGATCTCATGTACCTTATACCCAGTTTTTCCCATCATTTACCTTTGACCTTGGGCAAATTATTTGAGCTAGCTGAATCTCATTTTGTCCATCTGTAAATGGGAGTACTAATAGTACACACCACATCAAACTGCTTTGAAGATCATCTGAAATAACATCGATGAGACAACCTTATACAATACTGTCCTCAATAAATATTCTCCTCAGAACTAAACTGTGGTAGCCACGTGATTCTATTTAATGGAGGAATATTATCCTGGAGAGAGTCTCTAGCAGGGTATTCATAGTTTTGGTTTAAATCCTGTAATGAAAAAGAGCATATTTTGTAGAGCTTGATATAAAAATGATATGCTTTTTTATGGAAGATTTTAAAAATATAGAATAACATAAATGTTATCCTAACACCCCGTTAAAATTATTGCAAAGTTTGTTGTGTATGTTTCACAGTTATATTTTAAAGAACAAAAAATGTGATCATACTCCTTACATTTTTGTAACCATTAAAAAACTGTAGCCGTCTATTTTAGAGCTGCATGGTGTTATGCAGCAAGGAATACCACATTTTCATGTAGTCTTTGGGTACCAGTGTCTTGCTGCTGGGGAATCACTCCCTTTCCTTTCTTCTCCTTCTTCAACTTCAATTCTTCTTCCTCTCCTCCTTTTTCCCTCTTTTTACTGCTTATAGAGAAATCTGTATTAAATATCTTTGTAGACAGGCCTTTGCAGTCATCTATGATTATTTCCTCAGAGTCCAGTTCAAGGAGTGAATATTTATGGGTCAAAGGGTCTGCACATTATACGGCTTTTGAAACAGTACACCACATTATTATTAGTTACTTAGATCAGTGATTTCTTAATCAGGGTGTATATCAAAATTATCTAGGGAGCTTTTCAAGCTGATTCTTCCTCAGGCTCGCCTCTGGGTGATTTGTATTCTAGGGATCTGGCACTTTTAAAATGCTCTCAGGGGATTCTCAAATGCACATCTGGTTGGGTACCACTGGCTGAGAGGAAGACACGAGGTAACATGTTGACAAAATCTTCAAATGACAGGAGGCTGGAAAGAATTAATTAATTGGGTGATAATATCAGTTTCCTCAAAGATGTCCATATGCTGGAATGATGGAGGAATGTGTGGAGGGGACTTAATTATATGGGACACCTTCTGGAAGCCCCACACTGTGTCACCGCAGCACAGAGGTCATCTAAATGGTTGCAATAACATAGGCAGAATTCATTCTCCTATTTTACAGGTGAGGAAATTGAAACTCGGGGACTTAACTCACCTGGTCAAGGCCAATATTTCCAGAGCCCGGTTTTGGGCACAAATCTTATCTCCAAATCCTATGATCTTATTTATTTATTTTTCTATACTATAAATATTCATTGGTGAACTTAAGAGGAATCAATACAAAAGAATGAACTTGGACCCTCAAATCACACATGAACACCATTAGGAGATACATTTTATCTAAAGCATCTGTGAAAAAGATTTAAAGTAGCATTCTCAAAGTACAGTCCTGAAATCACCAACCCTGGAATTATTGGTGGGGCAGATTGTTAAAGATGTAGATTCTTCAGCTCCGCCCTAGAATTAGGTGTCCTGCCCTACTGAATTAGGATCTCTGAGTGAGACTCAGAAATCTGGATTTCTAGCAAACACCCAGGTGATTTGCATGTACTAAAGTTTAAGAAAGAGTGGTTAGGAGTTTTAATTAAATTTGGGTTTAATATAAATTGATAGAGTAATATTTCTGAAAACAGGAAGAAATCTTAATGTGAGTCAAATTTACATTGATCAGGGAGAAAACATACCTGCACTGTTGATGTCACTTTTGAGCAACTCATCTTATGGATATTTCAAACTTTCAGTGTGCGTGGAGACGAGTAACCAACGTGGCGGATGTACTTGAAACCGCTGAGGGACCTGTGGCCACTCGTCCTGGAAGAGAGAAAACGTGTGCCCCAAAGAGCACTGTGATCATCTGGGTCCAGTTAAGTGATGATATTTACCATTTAGTATATATCAGAACTCAACTTCTAGGAATATCAGAATTAGACATTAAATTCATATTGCCAATCCTAGATTCCTGCTTTTAATTATTGTGCTCATGTACTTTTCTATATGTTGACTGAATGAACTAGTCAGTTAAAAGGGCTTATAGAATAACTGTTTTTATCAGCATCTATCTCTTTTGCTAGTGAGAATGTTTACTGTCAGTTTTTTTTTAAAGTCTAGATTGGGGTAGGCCTTAAAAAATATATGTATAAGTCCTTCACTTAAAACTCAAAGGAAGGTCAGTCAAATATTTCTAAAACAACCCAGAAAAAGCATGGATCATAATAAAAAAGATTGATAGATTGAACTTCATTAAAATTAAGGATTTCTGTTCATTAAAAACCCCATTAAGAGAGTGAATATGCAAATCACACACTTACATGTGTGCAATGCATAGCCTTGGAAGAACTTATATCCAGAATAAATGAACAATTCCTCCAAGTCAACCAAACCAAAAAAGACAAACAACATAACTAAAAAAGTGAGCCAAACACTTGAACAGTTATTTCATAAAGCAGGATAAACAAATGACTGACAAAGATCTGAAAAGTCATCGAACATCATTGCTTGTCAGTGACATGTAAATGAAAACCACAGAAGTATATCAGTATACACCCATCAAATTGGCTATAGTGGCTAATAAAGTGTTGGTGACAATGTAGACCTCTTATACATTGCTGGTTGAAATGTAAATTGGTATAAATGCATTGGAAAACTGACTGGCAATATATACTGATAAACATATGTTTATCTTAAGATCCTCTTAGTTATTATACATCCCAGATAAATGAGTATATATGTACACCAAAAGACATGTAAAAAAGTGTTCATGCAGCAGCTTTACTCATTACAGTGAAATCAAACAACTCAAATGTCCATTGGCAGTAGAAAACATACATATATTGTGGTAAGCTCATATGATGGAAAACTACACAACAATAAAAAGGTAGCATACTGTTACACACAATTTCACGGATGGATCTCTAGACATAATGAGTGGAAGAAGCCTGACTTAAAATACTGCAAACTGTATGATTCCATTTTGTGAAGGTCGAGAATAAACAAAACTAACGGATGGTGATAATAGTCAGAAAGTGGTTATCTCTGGAGAAGGGTAGTAGGTATTAATTGGGAAGGGACATGCAGGAATCTTCAAGTATTGGAATTGTTCTATATAATGAACTATGTTGTTGTTCTAAGGACACACACACACACACACACACCCCATTCATGCATTTGTAACCTAAGATTTAGGACTTTGCTATGAAACTTCAATAAGAGTAATAAAATACAAAAGAAGGAAACCAGTATTTTGGTACACTAATATAAGCTAGATACTATAATGGGTGCTCTAACAACAGTTAAGACTTTATTAAACACCAAAGACTCTTAAGTTTATTATTGCTTCTAAACGCCACAGTAATCCTATGAGACAGGCATTGGGATCTTACAAAAAAGTGAACAATGACTCAGGCTCACTCACTTCCCCATGGTCTGTGATGGTAAGATTCAGAAGTAATTTTGTAATACTCTAAATGTACTCCTGTAGACTTTAAATTTCTTGGAGGATGCAAACATGTCTGTTTAATTCACTTCTGTATCTCTAGCATCTGGCACAGAGTCTTACATATATTAGGTATCCAATAAATAGAGTTGGGTTGAATGAATGAATAAATGGTCATATTCTTTCACCTCTACCAGGTAAGGTCCCTTTCTGCTTATGATGTCAACATTAGTGAGATCAAAATGGTTTTTTTTTTTCATATTTAGTTGGTGTGTCAATTTTAATCTAAAGAGCAGCTCAGAACCAGGAATGCTCATGGAATGAGAATGTCATGGGGATTCCAGTCAATCTTGAAGTGTCTTGAATTGGTAGCTTTTCTCCCCTGCCTCACCTCTCACCAGCCCCATGAACCTTATTAAAAGAGCTTCCTGTTCATAAGCACTTATACCTATTCTGTATGGCCTCAGTGATGGACTTGGCCCAGAGCCAGTATGCAGATGCATTAGCCCTGCATGTTGGCAGTATTTTGAATATCACCCTAACTTGGGACCAAAGGACAATGAGCTTCTTGGAAGGATTGATCACTGTTTTACACAAGGAAGAATTCCTAAAATTCAAAGATGACACAAACTGATTCCTGCAGTAGCTGAGCTCCTGTCAATGGGGATGTCAAGTTTTTGGACAAGTTCTTGTAGATGCTATGAAGAAGATTTGAATATCAGTTGAGAGTATGGACATGATTAATGATTTTCAAACTATTTGTTTACTGTGAGTGGCAGAAGCTTTCTGAATGGAAATCTTAGGTGGAGACCCAATCTATGAAAGGGACAAAAGAGCTGCTAAAACGGGATGTCAGAGCTTCCTTCTTACCCTCCCCTGCAGACTCTGGTGGGGCAGCTGGCAACATGAGGACGGGGGAGCTCATGTTCTGCTGAGCAGGGTGGTAGAGTCCTTCGTCTCTGCAACAGTCTGTTGAAGGCTTTCTCTAGCAGGAGGAAGGGCTGTGGCTATAACATGGGACTAATGGCAGCTCCCTCCCACCACTGCAGGGCACTGAAGATTTCATCTCAGGCTGTCTGTCCTCAGTGTGCTTTTGTCAGTTAAATAATGTTGTGGTGTTGGAGCGGGACCTTCACTATGGCCCTGATAGAGAGTGCTGCCACGCTCACCGCCTCCTTTCCCGTTAGTGTCAGTGTGGAAGAACTGACCGAGCCTGGGCTTCGGCATCAGGAGAGCTGGGTTTGGCCTCAGGTTTGCAATTAGCCATCTAGTTACAGCAGGACTCACAATCTCTCTGAAGTGTTTTATTCATCGGCAAAATAGTGATTGCTGTGGCTGCCCTGTTTCCTCACAGTATTGCTCAGAGAGATGAATGAAAAAAAGGCAATAAAAATGATAGAACCATAAAACCTATAAAGTGGTTCCATATAGTAGATTTAGGAAATATATACAGTTGACCCTTGAACAACATGGGGGTTAAGGGTGCTGATCCTCTGAGCAGTCAAAACTCCAATTACAGATTTTGACTTCTCCAAAAATTAACTACGAATAACCTACTGATGACTGGAAGCCTTATGGGTGACATAAATAGTTGATTAACACATATTTTTATGTTATATATATTATATGTTATTTTTTTGGAATTAAGTAAGCTACAGAAAATAAGTTTTTTTTCAAATTGTCACAAATCTCCAAAACATTTTCTAATGTATTTATTTTAAAAATCCGCTTAGGAGTGGACTTACATTGTTCAAACCTGTGTTGTTCAAGGGTTGACTGTATTTAAATATCTATGTTGTTTGCAAACTCAGCAAAAATGTTGTGAATTACGCTGAGCTCAAGTATAACAGAACAGATTATACTGGTAGGAAGGATGGGGACAAACAGCTATAACAGTAATTGCTTGTCCCTCTACACAGGCCCTATTCTCTACCTTATAGGGTTATCGTGAGGAATGAGTGAGTGTGTAAGGAAGGACCATGAATGTGCCAAACTTGGCTTAAATGCACTGATTATTATATTCATACCACAGTCTTTGAGGAATAGCTATTGGAAGCCCCTGCTTTGAGTTGAGGAAACTGAAGTCCAGAAAATGTAAGCATCCTGCCCACAGCTGCCCTTGGCAGCTCCATGTGAGCAGAATTGTTACACTAGGCAATGTGATGGGAAAGGGGATTATGTTCTTCTGTGAGGTCACTGGTGAAAAAAGGTACCATGATTTAGGTCATGTGGAGAGTCAAGGAGGGTCTCAGGGACACAAAAGTTGTCTGATAAATGCCACACAGCTCTGGCATGACGTTATGGCAAGATTAGTCTTGTCTCACGTGCATTTATGGAATTCCTGCTCTGAATACATACTCAGAATAGCCACTGGAGAGACAGCCAATAACACAGGGTTCCCACTTTTACAGTGGTCTCAATGCTTGTACAAATAGTTTACATTTATATTTTCTTGCTTGGCCTTACTTCTTCTCTTCTCTCAGCCCATAAAACACCACCAAGAGAGTTTGGATGTCCTTCCTCCCTTTATTCTCACTCACCATTTGCCAACTTTTTAGTAACAATTTCTTGTGTATTTACTCTATGCCAGACTTTGTGTCTCCCACTTTATGTCAACCATCTAATACAGTCTTCATAAAAACACTATGGGATGCTTTATTACCCCATTTAAAAAATAGATCTGGGAAGCAATTTGTAATTTGTTCAAAATAACATGTCATAATGTCCAGTACGTGTCTGAGTTGGTTTTCAAGCCTGAGCCTTTGGACTTCAGGTACATCACACTTCACTTTGTACGTCTCTTCTGCATGCATATATGTTTGCTACTGACATTGATAATCTCTCTGGTAGATGGCAGGAATAAAAAGCTAACAGCTCCTGGAAGCCATATTTTAAGAGCATCAAAGTGCTATCTATGTGAGAATTATAAGTAAAGGTCCTATGTCTTGGAATTATTTGTCATGTAGGCAAATGTAGGAATGGCTAATTACATGCTATCATCATTAAGAGCCTGTAGAGTTAGAAAAATTAGATTTGAGTCTTGACTCTATCATTTAGTTGATGTGTGACCTTCAAAATGTTATTTAATTCTAGTAATCTTCATCTGTATAATGAGAGTCTTCTCCCTACACCTTGACCTGTCCATACCCTTAGTCTCTCTTCCTTATGGAATTGCTCCATTCAGGGGAGTGTCAAGACTTTATGAAAATCTGGGCAAGAAATAGCTGGGCATGCTGTCCTCTTTCCTCTTGGGAGGAAGCAGGGACACTCTCCCTGATGACTTTCTGTCCTGCTTAGGCCTGCTGTGAGTGCGAGGGGAGCACGCCCCCCCAGGCTGGCTGTGCTGCGACTGAGCCTCAGTGGCCAGGATTCTGTTTTCAGTGCTGGGAAAGCCACTTGGTTCTCATGCTTACATCCTCCAGCCTATTAGC